CGATGGCAGGGTATCGATAGAGAATCTATGGAATCATCAGCAGAGGGGAAAGAAAAAGGACCAACACTGCCTATTCCTCCTTTTGGGTGAAATATGTCTGAAAATGTTTCATTTTTCACTTTAAAGGCAAGATGGAATTGCAAAAGACTTCAATGCTTTAGGGACACTTAGTTTGGTAATAGGCCATTTTTCTGTCTGTCAGGGCTCAGTCTGATTTTGAAACACCCAATAACTGCTTGGGTGAGGCACAAAAAATATTTCTATGCTGCAAGCATCAGGAAACTTGTTTTTTCGTAAAATCCATTTGATCAATGCAACCAACTGGAAATCTTGCATCATTTAGGCAAGTTACTGTAACATTGATGGTTACTCTGTCATAGTTAACTGAAGAAGAGGAAAAAAGTTTCCCCACTTATATTTTTATCTTTGCTCAGAAATGATGCAAGAACAGTTCTCACGTCATGGGGTATGCATCTGCTTTGAAGAGTTCCTAGTAGATCTTTCAGTAGGCTGGGGAATATATTTCTGCATGCTTCAGGAAGACTTCCTGAGCGATGGGCCAGTGCTTCATGATTTTTTAGGGTGCCATCCCTTTAACCTTGTACAATGGTAAAGGTTAGCCTTTTGGCAAAGATGAGGCATGCTTGAAAATATAAGAAGATGTTGTGTTTTTGTTGTTGTTTTTTTTTTTTTTTTTTTTTTAATATGCTGCTGCATTGCTCTTTTGTTCTGTTCTCATTTTCCTTATTTGGAATCTGGGAGGATTTAGGGATACGAAGGAAACAGAAGTGTCTCCAAAATAATTTCCATGTTGTATGGTTAGGAAGCTCTTCCTCTGACAGAAAGACACTGATTTCTTGGGACAACACCATGTTCCACAATGATGTGCCGAGAAGTTCTGGGTAAATACTTATTTTGTTTATCAATGAAAACACTCAAAGCAGAGTGCACTGGGATTTTTAGCTCCAACAGTGATGCCTCTGGTTTTCTTCAGAGGAAACTGCCAAAATGGTGAAAACTAGCTCGAATACTGCACAGCTATCAGGACAAGTAGACGCGTGGCCACAAGTGGTGACAGGCAGCAAGGCAAGGAGAAGTGCTGGGAATGATGGAGGCAGCCCATATAGGCAAAGTAATTTTATGGAGTTAAGACACAGAGGATCTAATTTTCTTCTCGAAGGCTCATTACCATGATTTTGTTACACATTATTTATGGGCTGTTATGATAGTCCTGGCAGGTCATAATTGGCTGAAGCTAGAGAATTAGTCACATTTTTCACATTTGGAAGAATGATCTGTACGGTTACACTAATGACTTCATTCCCGGAGATGCCATGTGCTGGGCAGGGACTGCCTGCATCGGGGTACGGCTGCTTTAACCCCATCCTGCTCCGAGCACTGTGCCTGGGAGCTTCGCTTTGTTCACCTGATACCTACAGGCTTCCCTATACTTTGAAAGGGTTGCTTGGTCTGTAAGCAACTTAGTATTTTTGTGATGGTTTCCCCTTTCCTTCCCCTTCCTTGAGTCTTAAACTTAAGCTATAACTATTTTTCTATATTTTAAAAATGCATTTTTAAGCTAGTCTGTCCGTGCAGGGGCGTTGTTCTCTCCCATCAGAGCCAGCTGCTGCAGTGTTACGGCAGGTCCAGCTCTTTCACTGGGGGTTGTTAACCCCTGTTAAGAGATGAGCAACAGTTTAAATGGAGCAGGGGCGTTATTGGCAGCACTTCCAACCGTGCCTTTCTGTGTACATAGCAAAACCCAAACAATTTTTCACAGATGATGAATCAGAAGGGAGCACTATAATTGTTTTATCTGCCTTTTGGGACAGCACAAGCTGCTAACTCTTGAATTAAAGCCTGGGGAATGTTACTGTATCTTCCTGAAGAAGGGATAGATTTGGTTAAAGGATTTCCAGTGATTAGGAGGCTACCACACAGTCTGACCTCTCCCAAACTGTTAATTGCTGTCATAGCTAAAGGGATATTTATTCTTGAATAAATTTGTGCTATGTTGGGTTGTAGCATTTGGATCATGTCGCTGTTTAGGCTGCTAGACTAAAGAGAAAAGCACACTGCCGTGAGAGGAAATTATAGACCATGATAAGTGGGTTGGAAAACATGCCTTGGAGTGAAGAATGCCAGAATAAAGCTAAAGGGTAACTTGAACCATTTGCGGATCTTCCACAGGCCTTTCCCATTTTATTAATTCTTTCTTGGTTTGTAGGTCTTGGGACCAGCCCAAGACAGTGGGGCTAACTGGCACATGAAAGTCATACCCAGGAGAACCTCCCACCTGTCTTTTGATATATAATCCCTGTCTATGTGGTCGAGGATGGCCTAAGTCTGCTCACACCAGGCTGACCTCTCACAATGGCAATGCAAGGCTCTGGGAGGAGGCAAGGCAGCTCCTATGAGCTGTGTCCAGGAGCAGTCGTCCTCCTGTCGCCGCTCCTGGAGCACGCGCTCTGCAGTCTGTCCTCTGCAGCCTGTCCTCTGCAGCCCCGGCGTGGCTGAGGGCTGGCCAGTAGTGAACCCAAGGCAACCTCTTAATCAGACTAAGAGGTGGGAGTTATAGTGTTTGTAAAATACTGTACAAATGGGAGGGCTTGATCGCATTAAATGAAGGATCAGATTCATTAAATTAAGTGGAAAGCAATGTACATGGGTAATTTCAAGGGCTTAGGCTGAATACGTTTTTTTAAATAGGAAGTGATCAGCTGCTATACACAACACAGAACAGCTCTCAAACATTTTTAATGACAGTATTTGTACACACTTTAGTTTAATTAACACATGGCACAAGAGAGGATTGGTAACTAGGATATAGTCTCACACCAATCGGCTCAATTATAACACAAAATTTCAAGCATCAGTACACCAAGAAGAAAGTCACCCGTCCCTGCCCAGCAAGGTCTAGCAATTTGAATTTCCATAACACCTTGTTTCTCTTGGATGTGACAATAATTCCTTCTCTCCAGATGGAGAAGTCCCCTTAGAAGTGAGTGGATGATCAGCTTCTCATTTGGATTTATTTCTTGATTTCTGCAATCAAAATTAAGGGGGCTGTATATTGTCACTGCCCAGTGATCCATGTTACGTTTTTGACAGCTATGTTATTTGGTAAATATGTAGTAATTGCTTCCAGAATTAACTAGAGTTGTTCTTCTGTGTCTGTATGAGAGATTTCCTGTGATGTGCGATCCCTTTGTTAGCGCAGTGCTCATTAGGCACTGGAGAGCTGCTGCAGGCACAGCTGGGTTTTACGCCTCTGCGGGTGTGGCGTTGGTCCGAGGGGCTAACTTCAGAATAATCGGCTTCTCTGGTGATAGGAGTCCATGTGAGCTCAGCTTGAGAGGGACCTGCAATGGTGAGAGGGAAAAAGCACACTTGAAGTTAGACAAATGAAATAAGGAGAGATTAAAGGAAGCTTGGCCATGGTTTGGGCATAACTTGGTCCATAGGGGTGATTTTTTTTCAGGGGCTTGAGGCAGTCTCTTAATTTTCCTTCAGAGCACAAATCTGGTCAAACTCCCACCCAGCCTGGAGCTGTATTTCAGAAAATTCACATTGGCAAAAAAAAAAAAAAAAAACACCTATGTCTGGGAGTTGCTGAGCTCCAGTGAAAATACAGACCTGCCTCTTCTAGTTTTTTTGCTGTTCTTCCTCATGGAAGATTTTCCCTGCGCTTGCTCATTGCAGCCTCTTAAGGGACCTGGCGATCCCTGAGCAGTGAAGGGAGCTCTGGTAACCCAGGCCCTTCTCCCAGGTCCCATCACCCACCTCTGGCCTCCCTTAGTGCTCAGGAGAGAGACCCAGTCCCCAAAAGTGCAAAGTAACTGTTGTCAGCACCCAGGGTAACCTGGCTCATGTCCAAGTTTCCAAATGTAATGCAAGTTCCTCACCTGAGTTTCTTTGCAGATTTGGAAGGTGAAATGTTGTAACAGGGCGACAATGGCAACTTTCAGGCTCAGGAGAGCAAACCTCATCCCAATGCAGTTCCTGGGACCAGCTCCGAAGGGCAGGTACGTGTATGGGTCTATGGAATCTTTGTTTTCCTTACTGAACCTGGATAATGACGTGTTGGGGAAAAAAAAAAATGAAGACAAGAAATCAAAAATCTCTCTATTTACTTATCCAGAGATCTCTTGCTGAGGTCCTACAGAAACTTGCTCATTTTTATGCAAAGTGTCTCAGTAATTGAGTGCTGTGTTAGGGCCCTAGTCCAGGGCAGGAGGTGGGATCCCCTTCCAGTGTTTGAGTTTAATTTTGGCCATCCAGGCCAGCAGAAACCACGTGGAAATCTAGGCAATGTGCTGTCCGAAAATATTTCCTTTCTGTTGCTTTTTGTGAGAGGGAAACCAGGAGTCACCTTTGGTAGGAGCAGCCTATGCCTTCAGTCTTGTTTAGGAATGAGAGGAAGAGGCTGCTTATGAAAATAACCAACTAGTGATAAGTAACTTTCCCGAAGACAACTCTTGAAAGATCAGCTCTGATACACTTTGAAGCAAAGCTTGCGTGGGGGGTAAAAAAAAAAAAAAAAGTTGGCAATGAAGGTGATACAGAAAGATGGACTAGGAGTCCATATTATCTACATGTGCCTCTTCAGCAAGCCTAAAAGCTGTATACAAGATGTTGTAAAGTATCAATATTATTCTCCCAATTAGATTATGTTGTTTGAAACCCTGCTTTAGCTGCAAAGCTCATTTTCGTCTTAAAATTACATTCCCATGAGCCTGCAATTTCTCTTTGGTATTGTTTGTGGAAAGATAGGAAGAACACCATTAGGAAGCTAATCAGATTAATACTTAATTACTATGTGAAGAAAAAGCAGCAGGATATTTCTTCCCTTTCATTATGTGTTTTGCAATTTTGTACCTTTCTGGTCTGAACTCATCTGGGTTTGGCCAGTGCTCAGGGTTGCGGTGCAGGATGTAAGGTGGGATCATAACAGCGGCTCCTTTTGGAATGGTCACCCCATTTATTTCCACGTCTTTCTTGCAGACTCTCTCAATCCGTCCCCCGAGGGGAAAGAGACGAAGGGTTTCATTCATGGTCATGTCAAGATACTCCAACTGCATCACTGTTTCGTATGTGAGAGGAGCCTTCGGACAACAGGAGAAAGGTGGTCAGGTATGTTGGTGTGAGATTTTCCTGATGGTGGGATTTTCCTAAAATGACTGCTGAAACCAGACTGCCCCCAACCCCTTATGCCTCAACTGTGTCTGGCTTGCTGAAGAACAAAACGCAAGGTAGATATTGCAGAGTTGGTTAAATTTTCTATCCTTGAGTGATGGAGACTGATGATAAATTCACATTGATTTGTGCATGGATGCAGGGTATGGCAAATGGGTTTGTGCAGGGCCTGTAAGGCTGTAGCTGCCAAAAGAAAATTGCTACAGGACTAAGTTGTCAGTGAGTGTCTTGGAGCTCTTAAAAGATCTCAGGATGATGCTTAGGAGCTAAAGAGTCATTCTTTGGACTGAGCTAGGAGAACAGCAGGGTCAGAGGTGTTTGCTGTTGCTCAGCGTCCCCTTACCTTGTTGGGAAAAGCATTATCGATTTCCTCCACCAGTTTCTGCTGTACGTCAGGGTGCAAGGCCAGTTCGTAAGCCAGGTAACCAAGCGTGTTGCTGGTGGGCTCATACCCAGCAAAAATAAAGATGAATGCTTGAGACAGGACCTCTATGTCAGTCAGGGCTGTGAAGAGAGAGGACATGTGGAGATGAGCAAAACTGGTGTGGACAGCCTCAGCAAGGAACAAGGAGCAATGGGTGGGGTTGGGGCAGGTTTGCTGTGGTGCATTTCTGGTAATGCAGAGCTACTCAATCTGTGTGGAAAGTCATTTGATTAGAGAATCCAGGAAACTGTCTGGGTGTAAATGATTGATTCCCTGCCAAGGGACCTTTCTCTGGGAAATGGCTCCCCATGTTCTTCTCGTTCCCACAGCCCCCATTCCCCGATGAGTATTTGGACATAGTTACCTTTGTAGTTGTGATTCGCTTCATTGTTCCCATTAGTGGGTGTTTTCTGGGATTCAATCATCATCTGCAGGAAATCTACCCTGCCCTGAGGAGAAAAGCAGGAGAGTTTCTTTGGTGACAGGTTCTGCAGGGAGGGTTTGCACAAACAGCTTCCAGCGCCCAAGCGCTGCTTCTAAACGGAAGGTATCACCCTGATGCACATGGCTTCCTTGTAGTAAAGCATGACACTTGCTTTTTATTTCGGAAACCTACCTGTCCTTTTTGTGAAAGCATTGGGTGAGAGAGTAATCTCTCAAGTGAGTTTCAGGAAAGGCATTTACATTCTAAGAGGGAGAGTTTTGTTGGGAAACACCTTCTGTGTTTGAAAAGTGAGAGGGGAAGGCACAGATCTGGAGGGCAGCACTGTTGTCCGGTGCTCTTGCACTGCTTACTCTGCTTTCCCTTATCCTCTTACTAATCTTCAAGGAAGATGAGTGGCTTAGTTTGCTGACTTATCAGAAATTTTGCAAGCCCAAGCTTTAAAGTCATTCTGCCAAACCTTTATCTGTACTCCACTTCAGATCATGGATGTACGAAGTCCACCATGCTTCCATGCCAGAATTGGTCGAATCAGACTTTCAAAAGGCATTAAAATCAAGTGCTTGCAGTTTAGTAACTTTGGGGTTTTACTGAGTCATTGGACTTTGGCTTCACCTTTGATATCATCACCCTTGAATGATGATATTTCACGTGTATGTATTGAGAAGAGGGAATTTGCTGCCACAACTGCTAGCAAATTCATGTTTGCTTACCTTTTGAGTCTCCTTTTCACGATCCTGCTTAATTTTGGAGATGGATCTCATGAAGAAATCTACAGCATCATTGGGAAAAACGCTTACATTGAACTTGGCCAAAAGAGGGCATATAAATGGAAATACAACTGAAAAACAAATTGAAAATGGAATTGAATAATGTAAACTCCACCTCATATAAGATAGCTATGGATGTTACTGAAGCAGTCATCATGGTAATCACAAATTATTTCCTTTTTTTTTTTTTTGCCTAGGCTTTGGCTTTTTTCCCCTCTTTCTCTTTCCCTTGGGATCATTTGTCTTCACACAACCCTCTCCCATCTTCCTGTTAACTGGACATAACTGAACTGAGTATAATCTTAGCTTTAAGAGATGACCAATGGATATGCCACCTTTTACCACGGTTTTCTAAGGACAGGTTACTTCTGTGCTTTGCGCAGCACTACAACAGAAAGGTAGCTTAGAAGAGAAATATTTTGAATTCTGATTTTTTTCAGGTTGAGCTGTTCAGTGTTGTTCTGTGCTCATACAAACACTTTCATATCCCCTTCAGACCACTTCCTTTATCATAGGAATTCTCTATCCTGGGCTTGTTTTATAGGTTCATAAAAATCTATAACACCAGAATCTCCTCTACACACAGATCACAACTTTCCCTGTGTATTAGCGAGGTGTCTAATCTTGACTTAAGGTTGCGAGTGATTTAAGGTCCATCATCATCCCTGCTAGAAAATTGCATCTAATTACAATCCCCACTCAGAACTCTTCCAGAAAATGCATTTCAGATAGCACCACTCTCCTCAAGCCTCACACCTGAGCTCTCAATTCAAGGATCATTGTCCAGCCTGTGTTTGGATATTGGCTGGGATGTTCTTGTTTGTTGCACTGTGGATGCCAAAAGTCAATTAAGCTTTTACTCATCTCCTTCCCAGGGTTCTAGTATGAAGCTAACAGTGAGGAAACAACGAGACAAGAGCCATTAGGACTTCCATCCTGGCTAGTAAGGTTATCTAAGCAACAGTTGGTTGGCCAATATATAGGATTCACAAGTGTCTGATATGCTTGCTAAACTCATACATCAATAGTACTCTGACACCTGAATAAAGCTTTCAACAAAAAGTGATTTACATGACACAATGAAGACTGGATCAAAAAAGTCAAACTTGACCAGTTTCTTCATCTCTCTGACAAAGGGGTCTTTGGGGTTGTTCATGGAGTCAATGTTCACACCAAATGAAGTGCTGGTAACCACATCCATGCTGTAGCTTCCAAAGATGCTGAGAAAAGATGGAAAAGGTACTGTGATTAAATATTTGCATGATGTGAATATATTTTTCCTAATGCCTAAATCACATTCAAATATAAATTCTTGTAAGACCTCCTGCCTGGTTGTTGAAAAGGAAGTTGGATGTATGGCAACTGGGAGGCACTTAGAGTGAAAGGGATGGATTTTAGAAAGGTTTGGTGCCTGTGTGTGTTTAGAAATCAGACAGCCTTCCTGGAGATGTTAAACAGCATGTGGCTGCATGAGCATGTTAGTGTAAGGACAGCATGGGGCTCTCGAGCATCTTAGCTTCTCAGGGAGGGGTGGTAACACACCCTGCTTCAAACATGCCACAAAAACAACATTGTTTGACCCTGTGAAGCCCTGTGATGGTACAAACTGTCCTTCAGGCTGCTTCTCCTTATGGGACTACGGTGTCTGCTGGTGTGCTGCTGCCCCTTCTGCATCGTAGCTGCTGTAGCAGGGGTGAAACAGGTTGTGAAGCAAGTTGCTTTTGTTCCAGAGCCCATTTAAAGGATGTGGACAAGGACAACAGACATGGGGCTGTGTAACTGCCTCCCTGCCCAGTCCCACCCCAGCAGCGGGGGCAGATGGTAGAAGAGGGCCCCACGGTGCTGTGTGGGGCTGGGAGACCCATGGCCCTACGGGCATCCCCAGCTTGCTGCAGGGTGAGGAGGCAGTTCATAGGCCCCGAGCATATGTGGGGAAAAGTGGGTTTTCCTGTGGAATTTAGTTGTCATGGTTCTGTGGATATACAAGGCTAGGCTCATGCATATTTTCTCCCATCTAATTCCCTTTGGAAGGCTTTTGTGGGCCTCTGCTTCTAGGAAGTTTCTCTAACATCCTAGTTTAAATTTCCCCTTATGAATTTCCAGCCAGGCTCGCAGCCAGCCCTGTTCTTTGTTTCAGAGGTCTGGTTTGCCTAGCAAGTGATCTGTGCTGCCAGTAATGAACAAACCACAGCACTTGCTAACAAGGCTTGTTGCTTAGCCTGCTGCTCCTAGCAGCTACTTACTCCTTCACTGGTATAGAACTGTCCTTTTCCACTCTTTTTTGAACGTTTTTCACCAGCACTTCCCCATAGTGCTTCATTATAGGAAACATCTGTAACACAAAACAAAGATGGTCACTAAAGTACAGCACACTTCATTCCTTTAAGACAGGCTTACAAAGACTACAGGGGTTTTCATGAATATTTACAAATAAGATCTTTCTGTTAAGTTTTTTTTCTTCCTTCTTACATCAGGCATAAATTAAACAGGCCAGCTCAGCTGCCAGGCTCTGGCTACAGAAATCAAACCCCCGTGACTATCTCAGCCTGAAAACAGCCTCCTGACTTTCTGATTTAGCTTGTACTCGATCCTCTGTGTTTTACCTCCTTTAGCTTCCCACTGGTGAAGGTTGGAGAGAGCACTGTACGAAGCCGTTTCCACTGTTCGTCTTCAGCTAATGAGACAGCGTTGTTCAGCACCCCTGCTAGATCCATGTGCTGGAGGGAAAAGGCAAGGTGTTAACCTCAGAAGTTCGCAGCTTCCTCCCAAGAATGGGAATGTATACACATTATACATACAAATACATGATGCTTTTTCCTGCAGTAAGCCACATGAGAGGCTGTTTTCATATCCCGAACAACTAACCAAACACACCCAGTGCCTGGGCACATGTATGCCCACACCTGGCTGTGACACCCAGTGCACCCAGCTGGGTGGCACGGGGACTAGCGGGACCCCGGCAGGTTCCTGCATGCTCACACAGGCTCAAATCCATCCTGTTTGTGTGTATATAGGCGGAGGGATGAGCAGAATTTGAAGTGCAGGCATATAGCCCGGGCGTGCAGTCCCCAGGCTGTTGTAAGGCAGGGGAACAGTGACATACAGTGGCCACTTACAGTAATCCCCATAGTGCAGTCACGCAGACCCTATGGGAAACCCTGCTGCACGCTCGTTTCCTCCTGTACTTTGTTTTCTGGAGTCTCTTGCACATCACAGTGCTGCTGCTCTTACCCTGCGGTTGGTGAAGGTGGAGTAACACTCCTTAACCAGCACGGATTTGATGATTTTGGGGTCCAAGATA